AAAAAAAAAAAAACCAACAGAGAAAACGATGACTCAGCGTTTACAGAAATCGGTTGTTTTAATGGCGTTTGTGTCACTTCCTGTTTCAGGGTCTGCTGTCGTTCATGTCGGCTCCTCTGATTGGAGCGTTGTCGGACGTTTGGGGCCGGCGCTCCTTCCTGCTGATCACMGTCTTCTTCACCTGCGCTCCCATCCCCCTGATGAGGCTCAGCCCCTGGTAGGACTTCCTGCGGCGACTCGTCACAACTTTAACGACCGTCATGAGCGGGACACTCGTTGTTTTATTAGACGACTTCTGTCTCACCTACCTTCCCGTCCTCCAGGTGGTACTTCGCCATGATCTCCATGTCCGGAGCATTTTCTGTCACCTTCTCCGTCATCTTCGCCTACGTAGCCGATGTGACGGACGAGCGCGAGCGCAGCACCGCCTACGGTTTGGTGAGACCAGACGATTGTCGAGTCGGAGCTGAAYCCCGAGGGCGGGTTTGAAATCTTTCATTAAAATCTTCGGCCGTGTCCTCCCTCAGGTTTCAGCCACGTTCGCAGCCAGCCTGGTGACGAGCCCGGCCATCGGCGCGTACCTTTCGGCTTGGTACGGGGACAACCTGGTGGTCCTGCTGGCCACGCTCATCGCTCTGTCCGACATCTGCTTCATCCTGCTGGCCGTCCCCGAGTCCCTGCCCAACAAGATGAGGCTGAACACCTGGGGGTCGCCCATCTCCTGGGAGCAGGCCGACCCCTTCGCTGTCAGTAGCYGAAGATTTCATTAGCCTCTGAATTATTTAGCTGCTAGAACAAACATGTTTGTGGACTTAATTAGCTTAAAGAAAAATAAATAAACAGCTGATATAATCTGGAGAATTGTACCAAAATATTAGTTTTTAGCTAGAAGCTAATGGTAGTGAAATATATATAGCTAAAGATTGGATAAATGTAGCTAAAGATTGGATAAATGTAGCTAAAGATTGGATAAACATAGCTAAAGACTAAATGTAGCTAAAGACCAGATAAACATAGCTAAAGACTAGGTAAATATAGCTAAAGACTGGATAAATGTAGCTAAAGACTGGATAAATGTAGCTAAAGACTGGATAAATGTAGCTAAAGATTGGATAAATGTAGCTAAAGACCAGATAAACATAGCTAAAGACTAGGTAAATGTAGCTAAAGACTGGATAAATGTAGCTAAAGATTGGATAAATGTAGCTAAAGACTGGATAAAT